CCTAAAAACTTTTTAATCTAATAAAATGTGAAGTATATTTGTTTCATGTATGTTATTTGAATATTTAATGAATGAGTTATGTATCATACTCACAATATAACTGCACGTTACATCTGCTCAGCCACCTCCTTCTCTCACCTCTGCACCCAACCGCTCACCAGCCTAAAAGCCCACCAGCCTAAGAGCCTCGTCCCTGTGGACGCCACAGCCACCTGAGGCAGTCACCACCCTGCCGCTTTCACTGGGTAGATGGGGAACAGCAGTCCCAGCCATGCCGACACAGCGCCTTCCATTTGCTTCCCCCAGCACGGAGTTAATTGCAACTCCACAGTCCCTCCCACCACTGGTCTAACTGGTCTCCTGTTGCCAGCTGGCTAGCTGAATGTACTTACTGGTTAAGCGCCCACTTTGTGAAGGCACATAGAGGGCCACACCCTTACTGGCACGGAGAAGCTCACGGACTGGCTGAAGGTGTCATTGTGCACAGTGGAAATGTTTGACATCAGACTGCTCTTGGCTCCAACTGCCAGTTCTGCTACTCACTACCTGCTCAATCTCCAAGAACCAGGCAGATGTGGATATCTTTTCTTTTCTTCTTCCTCCCCCTCCTCCTCCTGCGCGTGCTCGCTCTCTCTCTCTCTCTCTCTCTTTCTCTCTCTCTCTCTCTCTCTCTCTCTCTCTTTTTGCGGAACTGGGGATTGAACTCAGGCCAGGGAAGCGCTTATTCCACTGAGCCATCTCCCCGGCTCCCTTCCTCTTTTTCCTCTTCATCCTCTTCCTCCTCCTCCTCCTCCTCCTCCTCTTCTTCTTCTTCTTCTTCAAATGTGAATATTAATGCTCACTTTTCATGGCTGTTGTATGAAAGTTATGAAAATCTAGCACATGGAAAGTGCAAAGTGGAGGGGCTAGTATATTATTTTAGCGATACATTTTTAGAGTCAGAATTTATCTGAATGGAGAGTATTCATTTTTCTAACTCAGCAATTTTACTTTATAAAATTCACCATTTCTTGCAGGAGGTCTCCTCTGGCAGGAAGAAAGTGATGTCTGAAATACTCAAGTCAGCAAAATGCTGATCTCCAGATGGTGGGATTTAACCAGATATTTTATTCTTTATATTCTTCTATGTTGCTTGAATTGTTTTTTAAAACCCAAACACATTCAACTTTCACAAAATGTCCCCAAAAGCCTTGTTAAAATTTACCTTTTGAATTCAAGAGTCTTGGTGTCCTCTTTCCAGTACCACTTTCCTAGTTGTAATCCCCATTGCTGTAAGAGTGCAGCAAAAGTGATTAAAATTCAGTGTACAACTCCTGCGGCACAATAAACCTTTAATAGTTCCTACTAGTTGTTCCACTCTTTATTCAGTAAAGATGGGGAGTCTTTATTCTTTGTCTTTTAACTTGAAGCCGGGTTTTATTCTTTTTGATTGTTTTTAGGATGTGGTTTTAATAGGATGGAAGGGAGGAAGGGATAGAAAGGGATAGGGAGGCTGGGGAGATGGCTCAGTAGAATAAGTGCTTCCATGGCTAGCACAAGGGCCTGAGTTCAATCCCTGGTTCGAAAAGAAAGAAAAAGAAAGAAAGGAAGGAAGGAAGGAAGGAAGGAAGGAAGGAAGGAAGGAAGGAAGAAAGAAAGAAAGAAAAGAAAGGGAGAGGGGAGGGGAGACATACTGCACCTAGCTAAAGTCACCCAGACAAAATATAGGAATGCCCTGCACAGTCTCATCTTTGAACTGAGCTCACCTGCTGTGCCACTGGGGCAGCGCCGGAGCACAACAGGGTCACCCTTCCCTGGCGGTGGGGAGCAACTCCAGGTTGTGCTCTCCTGGGTCCCCCATGGCTGGGCTACAGGGTTTGCAGCCACCGAACCAGAGGCAGGGCGGTGGGCTAACAAGATCTCCAGCGCAGAGGGGCCGGGGAGATAGCTCAGCAGAATAAGCGCTTGCTTGGCAAGCACTAGGGCCTGAATTCAATCCCTGGTACTACACACACAAAAATAAAATAAAAATAAATAAATAAATCTCTAACGCCGGGCGGAATTCAGTTCTGGAGCCAGAATTCAATTCTGGCCCCCAGCGGGGTCCACTCCTCCAGTTTTGTTCTTTAACTTTTTTCTTTTTTTTTGCAGAACTGGGGATTGAACTCAGGCCCTTTTGCTTGTCAGACAAGCACTTATTCTACTGAGCCATCTCCCCAGCCCCTTGGTTTTTTTATTTTTTTTTTTCGGAACCGGGGATTGAACTCTGACCCTTAAGCTTCCAGAGAAGCGTTTATTCCACTGAGCCATCACCCCAGCACCTAGTTTTGTTCTTCTAGGCGGGATGTGCAGTAGAGGACGCCGAGGGGACAGTAGGGCCCGGCTTACCGGGTGGTGAGCGGGGAACCGGGCTGCACTTACATCCAGGGAGGAGGTCTGCAGCTCCAACCGCTTTCTCCTCGAATAAAACTCTGGTACCTGGTACATGGCCACCCCGGCGTCCTCTCCGCGTCGCCCAGGTTACTCGGCCCGGACTCGGGACACCACGAGGATTGGATGTGGGCGTGGCTTTGGGTAGCGAGGGGCGTGGTTTTGGCCCAGACTGGGCGGGGCGGGGGCGGGGCGCGGGCGCTCCAACCCCACCCCGCGCGGGCTGCGAGTGCTTTCCCCGAGCGCAGCTTCGGGTAACTAAGGCTCGTCTGCGGTCGGTGATGGGCGCTTGGATGCCAGAAAGTTGAAATCCGGGCCGAACCTAGGATGATGCTGGCGCTGCAGGGCGGAAGCCGAGTAGTCTACTGAGCAGAACCTTCGACAAAAAAAGGTTTTCACACATTTCTGCTGCTTCACTGGGACCTCGGACACTTCTGATCCTGCTTCTGCAAATAACTAAACATAAAAATTAGGGAAATAGTGTGTGCTCACAGAAAAGTAACAATACTGGAGGCACATACAATAAATAGTTAGTCTACCTCCGGGCATTGTTTGATCTGTATCTTTCTAGATATTTTAAATATGAATGTTCTGTTGTATTATTTTCAAGAAGAAACAAGTATCAGATACCTTAAAACTGAGTAAATGGATTGTTCACCTAACATTTTTTCTTAAAAGATTTATGTACATTCTGCTTTTTTTATTAATAGTATAAATGTGGGGCAAAAAAAAAGTATAAATATGTTTGCCTTAAAATATGCATTTGACCAAAAGAAATTTTTTTTTTTTTTTTCGGAACTGGGGATTGAACTCAGCCCCTGGCGCTTGTCAGGCAAGTGCTTATTCTACTGAGCCATCTCCCCAGACCCTGACCAAAATATTTTTCAGTAGCCAAAATAGAGTTCCACAAAAATCTTTTCCTATTAAAAAAGAAGAAAGAAAACAACCAAATTGGGAGTTATAAGAATTTAAAAGGAAGAACATATGCAAGGTACTACCCATAGTAGGTACTTAAAATTA